GTGTGCGTGTTCATTCGGCTACAGCGGCGACTCCTGTGAAGACCACCTCTTGAAGACCATGCAGGGTCCCATCGTGTACGGCGCCGTGGGGCTTTGTGCAGCAGTGGTGGTCATTGTTGTGATGGCGGTGGTGGTTAGGAGGAAGAGCGCCAACACAAGGTTTGTTGGATTACTAAATGAAAACACTGAATGCAGATGAAGTCTGTTGATTGAAACTTTATGATCTTATAAACGGTCTTATCCTATTGTACTATGACAATAGTATTGAATGTTTGATGTTAATGGAGAACACATCTTATCATTAATTAGTACACGTTAGCATGCTGATGATGGGCTGAAAATACTTCACATTCACAATTAACATGCAATATCTGAGGCCTTTTAATACTTGCACTCTGCATTTCCTCATCGTTTTTTCTTGATTATTCAGGAAAGTTAAGCAATCTGTCATACGAGGAAAGCATTTGAGGATGAGGTTATTAAACTACTTTGCAAGAACCAGCTTGAACATGTAGTGGTTGGCTGTGGCTCAGTGGAGGAATCGGTCGTCTCTCAACCCAAAGGCTGGGGGTTGGATCTGAAGCTACATGTCTGATGTGTCCTTGAGCAAGACACTTAACCCTGATGGACTCTTTACTCAGCAGCCTCTACCATCAGTGTATGAATGGATGAGTTAATACCAGATGGGCTCTTTACTCAGCAGCCTCTACCATCAGTGTATGAATGGATGAGTTAATTACTGGGAAAGTTTCTCTGTACTTATCCTAATAAAACCATGAATCATTAAATATCACAGAAAATCCAGCAGATGACGCAGCTAGTACTTTTCAGCCATAAGGTGATGATAATTTCAAGGATTAGCAAAGTTTGAATCTTTCTTCTGAGGCTGGACTCTCCGTAAAAAATGTGACTTGTGACCCAACGGTTGAGAAAAGTAAGTGTTGACTGGCTCGGCATCGCCAGAGCTTTGCTGCTAATTTTACAAAAAAGACTGAGGCAAAGATTTCTAAATAGCGTCAAACTCTAAAATAAGAAACTATCAAAACATGATTGTTGTCATCTTGACTTTGACATTTAATGTGTGCGGACAGTTAAATATATTTCCCACATTGTGCAACATTCAACTAAATATATGGAGGTTGCTTAAGATGACCTTTCTGTGTTTCCAGGAGAGCTAGGCCAGCTGAGGTGAAGGAAACGAGTATGACTGATCTGGAGACAGAGTCCACCCCGACAACACGACCGGCTTCATCGGACATCGAGAAAACAGAGGTGGCTCTCTAAGAAAAGTTGACAAAACAGATTTTCCAGATTTATCCCCTTTGTTGTTGTGGCTCAGACTGTCTGACATTTCTCACTTTCTCTGCAGGAAGCGGTATCTTCTGTGGACTGAGGCCGAGTCATGGGCACATAGTGTTTTAAAATAAACAGTTTTTGTGATAAATGTTTTCCTGTGAAGTTATTTTGTTTGCTGTCAGTCACACCACCGATGATGAATAGTTGGAACAAACTATAACGGTCTCCTCAGTTAGGGTGCTGAAACACTTATCAAAGAAGCATTGTCGTACTGAAGGATGGCGCTACAGAGCCTGGGTGGCAACCAGACGGTGGAGTCTACTTTTGTTTACATCTTGAAGTGACTACAAACCCATGAGTGTATACTCGAGCTGTAACACTGGTTCCCGTCAGGACGTCCTGGGCCTAAGATCTAAGCGAGTTCGGTTGTTTGGCAACTATGACCAAATGGTTTAGCTGGCTGTGTGTTGGTGTTAGCGTCAGCTAGCGTTGAAGCAGTGGAGAGCTTCAAGGTCTGCCTCAAGCAGAGATTGTAGTATTCCTAAACATGACTGTGATTTTGCACAATCTGCTTTTTCTTTTAAGCCATTATAATTTGGGATAATCTCCCAACTAATCTGAGACTATGCACAAACTTCCACTTTCTCCCAAAGTCAAAACATGGATTTTAAGCAGTCTTAATAGTCAGCATTAATTTGTCATCCTGACAACTTTCAACAACTCAGGGAAACTTGTACATAATGTTTTAATATCTGTATATTGTTCTATCTTTCGTCTCTCTTGAAATGTGTTTGCACATTACGGGTTGATATGTATTTTACTGTTGCTATCAACCGATGGAAATTAGCTAGTTAGCTTCATCTGGTACAAAACATCTTCTCTCTTCTAAGGCCGAGGTTTTTTTGTATGCTGTACCTGATTCAAATTAAACTGAGAACATACTCACTGCTTATTTGAATGTCGCGTAAGCATTTTTAGATCCCAGTCATTCCATTTAAATGTATATGCGATGTGAGGCTATGAGCTAACCAAAGCTAACTTTAGCCTGCTAACACAACAATGCAGTCCACAGGTAACTGCAGCCTGAGATGGGGACAATTTTGTTTACTGTTTTTCTTGCATGCCAATACAAATAGAGGGGGGTAGAAGGAGTGCTGCTGGAGGTGGAGGTGTGCTGGCTCAAAAAGTCACACATTTTTCAATTAAAGGTCTCATATCCTCCTCCTCTTCAACCAGTTTAATTAAGTCTCGGAGCTCCCCAAAACATGTGTGTGAAGTTTCTTGTTCTAAATCCACTCTGATCCTGTATTTGATCATGCCTATAACCCCTCTATTTCAGCCCTGCTCAGAACAGGCTGTTTCTGTGTCTGTACCTGTAAATATGTAAATGAGCTGTGTCAGACCACGCCCCCTCTCTGGAAGGGATCAGGTGGCTCGGGCTGTCTCGCTCCATGCTCTATTGTTTACGGTGAGAAGGCAGACTCAGAGGGCAGAACAAACACCTAGCTGTGGGAGTGCCACCCACCTGGGGGAGGGGCTACTGCACTTTGTGATGTCATGAAGGGAAAATCTCCAAACGGCCTGTTTGAGCACACATTTTCTGAAAAGTGGAGCAGGCAAAAGACGGAGAGGATGGACTTTTCTCATCATTGGGGGGTTTGTAGACGGACTAGAGACACATATTAGTGTTAGAGGAACATGGTGAAGTGTATTTTAGATATTATGTGACCTTTAAGAGTCCATTGAATCTATGCTCACAGGCCTACATATAAGAAATTTGATTTGAAAGATATATTTAACTTTTCTTTCAATTGTGAAAGTAATTATAGGTATGGAGTCATACAGCTGGTGTGACTTGGTATGGTGGAGTTTAGACATCTGTCTCTCAAACAAAAGGCATATTTGATTTGAAAGAAAGAGTGAACAGGAGTTCTTCTGGTATCCCTCAAACCACCGCAGCTCATGGAAGAGAATATTTCATTGGTATAAATGAATAAAGGTTTAGGTGCTCAGGTGGTTTGAAAAGTATAGAAGGCCTAAAATTCATTGGGCTACTCAAACGCGTATCAGCCTGTACCTTCACTTCACCCTGAAGAATGGTGAATGGACTTGAGTTTGTGTAGTTATTTTTTTCTGACTACTGAAAACTCTTCTCAGCCGGTCACACCTACACATTCACACACTGATGATAGAGGCTGCTGTGTAAAGAGTCCATCAGTATTAACTCATCCATTCATACACATGCACACGCTGATGGTAGAGGCTGCTGAGTAAAGAGACCATCAGTACTAACTCATCCATTCATACACATTCACACACTGATGGTAGAGGCTGCTGTGTAAAGAGTCCATCAGTATTAACTCATCCATTCATACACATTCACACACTGATGGTAGAGGCTGCTGTGTAAAGAGTCCATCAGTATTAACTCATCCATTCATACACATTCACACACTGATGGTAGAGGCTGCTGAGTAAAGAGTCCGTCAGTATTAACTCATCCATTCATACACATTCACACACTGATGGTAGAGGCTGCTGAGTAAAGAGTCCATCAGTATTAACTCATCCATTCATACACATTCACACGCTGCTTACTAAGCAGCGGGAGCAACTTGGGATTAAGTGTCTTGCCCAAGGACACATTGGACATGTGGCTGCAGGATCTGGGGATCGAGCCCCAGACCTTCTAATCCAGTGGTTCCCAAAGGGGGGGTCGGGGCCTGCAGGGGGGTCACAAGACACTGAAAGGGGGGTTGCGAGATTCCTTCCAAAAACATTTTTAAATGACTTAAAATTTTATATTTTAGCTATTATTGTGAACAAAAAAAAGTATAGAAAAAGTAGTTCAAGAGATGGACAGCTGGGGTCCCCGGTCTATAACTCCTTATTTTGGGGGTCGTGGGTTGAAAAGTTTAGGAACCCCTGTTCTAATATATTGATATTTATGGCATGGTGGAGTTTAGACAAGTCCCACTGGACTTTAAATTCATTTTATTTTCATGCACTCTGTGAGTAGTTACATACACTGCAAGATGTTTTTTCTCATAGTCCACTGCACAGCTCCTACATTGCACCTTTTGTACATCTTGTGTTTTTTATTTTTATATTTTACATTTTTTTATTATATTTTATATATTGTAATAGCTTCTTATACTGTATTATGTAAGTTGTTGCTAGTTCTGCTTTATTTCCTTGTTAATTGTTTAGCACCAAGTCATTCTGATTCTGAATATAAAGAGGGTACAAGCCGATACACGTTGGGCCATTTTAAATGTGTCTAGCCCGATGAATGAAAGGCATCTTTGATTGTAGTGGAATTAGTGGAAACTGGTGAACATGACTTCAAATAATCCATCTTTTGTTGCAGTCGCTTTAAATATGATGCAGGATGATTTATAACAAAGAGATTTAGACGGCGTGAAGTTTAAGTATGAACCAGATTGTTCCCACTGTTCACACCCAAACCACAAACAGATGTTTACTGCGCTCATGAATAAACGCTTTGGGCTCGCACGTTCTCTCATTATCGCTTCACTCGTCTTATTTTAGCTCGCCCTCATTTCAATGTGTCAGGAGTGTTAGAATGATTTACTTTAAATTGTTAGTGTCAGTGTCGAAGCATGAAGTGCCATACGAACATGAACGCGATGATAGATAACCGGTTCATTGTGCCCACACCTTTCAGCACGCTGTATAAAGGGCGTTCAATGCTCGGAGAAGCAGCAGTGAGCGTTCACAGTCGAGCTTTCCAGAGAGTCGGTCTGCTGTCTCCACGTTCATCCCAGGGATATAATCAGGCTCAGTCGAGGTAAGTCCTACAGCAGGATGACTAACATGTGTCTATGTTTATGATCTCTGATGTTTCATTGTTTTTTATTTACTGCTGGTTATGGAGCGGATAGTTTCAACCTCATTATGTATGGCAGCGTCTATTTTAGAGAGCCTTCAGTGTTAGAGGAACTCATTTAGTCTCTCCTGTTGCAGCGAGCACTTTATGAAAAAGACGATGTTCTTTGTTGTGACAAGACTAAGACCAAAGCATGGCGAGACTGAGACAAGACAAGACCAATCCATTTAGGGATGGAGACCGAGTCAAGACTAAGACCAAGGCAGGTCGAGACCAAGACAAGACCAATCTATTTACTGAAAATCCAACTACAAATGCATTGAAGTTAGGTGTTTTCCTTCTAATCAGGAATGAAGTGGAAAAATAGTTGATCGGTGGTGGTCTTGACCTGTCTTGATTTAAATTCTGGAGTCCGCCCAGTGTGAGACCGAGACAAGACCGAGTAAAACTGCTTTAGATTCAGAGACAAGACCGAGACCTTCAAAAAGACAGACCGTACTACAACACTAGTTCATTGGAAAGTCATTGAAATATTCATGACATGTTTGCTACTCTCCATTTTGACAATTTCAGATAAAAAGTCAGAGATTGGAGTTTTTACTGCTTTCTGTCTTTTTAAGCCAGCAGGCTGTGTTTGTACGTTTGTACGTTTGTTGTACGATTATAAAATGACCGTCATGGTGCTTTTGTATTATTTGTTTCAGCAATAACAGGAAGAAGCGATGGCAGTTCTCAGGGTTATACTTGTTGCTGCCTTCATGGTGACTGTAGCGCTGGCTAAACCGGTGAGTAGCTCCACCATTCGGCTTTTATCATGAAATGCAATCTAAGAGATAGTAGTCTAAAGAACATTCCTTATTCCTGGAACAGGTCAATCTGAGCGAGGATGAGGAGCAATCCAACGAGTCCACTGAGGAAAACTCATCAGAGGAGGACAGCAGCCCTGTTGGGCATTCACATCATGGGCCCCTGCCGCCTGTGAACACCCCTGATGTCATAGTGTTGACTGGGCCATCAGAGGAGGACAGCACACCTGTTGGGGACTCACATTATGGGTCCCTGCCGCCTGTGAACACCCCTGATGTCATAGTGTTGACTGGGCCATCAGAGGTGGACAGCACCCCTGTTGGGTCCCTGCCACCTGTTAACACCCCCGACATCATAGTGTTGACTGAACCACAGGGCACTGCAGACATGTTCCCGTCTGTAGATGGAACCATTTCAACAAACGATATTTCAGTCCTGCCAGACCACATAGACCCGCAATCCTCCACTGACTCGGACACCACCAACATTTTTCAGGACATGCCTGTGACCGATCCTGCTCAGGACTCGACTATTGGCGATGTTCTCCCAGACTCCGAGGTCACTCTGCACGCAGGGCTTACAGAAACTCATGATGGCACAAACCAACCACATGCCACCACCACATACCAAAATCCCCCGCTTGGTACCACAACCTCACCCATGTCTATCGCCATGGCAACTGCCAAGACTACTGTTCCTGTCTGTATCACTTTCCAGTTTGCTACCTCCGAGCCAGATCAACCAAGAGGAGACAGCATGCGACGCAAATAACAGAAACATTGGTTTAAAGTTTTTATTATTGTTGTACATTATACTCTAAACACTCTAAGTGTCTGTTTTAGCTCCACATTTAGAGAGAGGTGATCTGGTTTTAGTCAGATGGTGCATGTGTGATGACTGCTATATCATATTAAGTGAACCCTCTCTGTACTCTCAGAGCTTTAAAAACGTACAGCTCTTCATTTGTTAATGTTGATGATGTGTTTATTTGAGCTGCTGAAAAATAAAAGTGTGATGTGATTTATGTTCTTATGTCTCCTTTACGACCTTCTTAACCAAAACAATTAAAGAAATAATGTGCGACTGTTTGATCCAGCATGAAACCAAAACAACTCGCGCTGCATTGTTGTGTTAGCATGCTAATGCTAGCGCTAGTTAGCTCTTAGCTTCACACTGCGTGTAAATTTACACGGAATGACCGTGATCTAAAAACTCGGACTTTCAAATAATCAGTGAGTACAGTATGTTATTATTCTTTTTCTCTAGTCAACATCACAGACAGTGGGACTCGGGTGTTACACTCAGTGTAGACAGTCATGACTCAGTTATTTTCAGAGGATATACTTGATTTCTGCTACATTCAAGTGTGAAGAATCACATATTAAACAAAGGCTCAAAACATGGAGACTGCCACACAAACATGCCACACAGATTTAAAGTTCAACCCCGAGCTTTATTACATTTACATCAAAAGAAAAATAAGAAACCCAAGAAACAAAAAGGGGCTGGAGACCTGGCCAAAAAGATCAGATGGGAAGGTACCGAGCCAAACAGGTAATGGGTAATCGCTCTCAGCACCTCCCCCTCAAAATACCTAAATGGACTTTAAGTGGACTTAAAAAAGGGGCAACAAAAGCTCCTCATCACCACTGCCCAAAGTGTGCATCCCTGATCTCTCCTCCCTGACTCCTCTAAACACCTCCTCCTCCTTGAGCAGAGATGGCACTCAGGTGTGCAGCAGAGAGAGAGAGAGAGAGAGAGAGAGAGAGAGAGAGAGAGAGAGAGAGAGAGAGAGAGAGAGAGAGAGAGCGCAGGGCCGCACAGTCTCAATCAGCAGCTTAGAAAGACTCATATCTTTGTTTTTAGTAAATTATGTTGTTTATTGGGAGTTGTAGTTCTTAGATGTACATGTAAATGTTCCCAAACTTAAAACATGCAAGTATCAAAGACATAAAAAGCATATGATGAGGATGGAAACAGGCGCCTCTTCACAGCAGCTGCACCACAAAAACACATCATGAGAAACCTTCATATGTATCCATCATATTTTTAGACAACGTGATGTGGAGTGGAGTTGTGCTGATGCAGTACTGGGTTTACATACGACGTACGGCACAATCCCTGAGCTGAACGAAAACAGTCAGATTTTATACAATCAAAAGAACAAACACTGTTTTTTTGTTTTTTTTTTAATTCATGGAGCCTCAGCGACTTAACCCCTCAAGTAAGACAGTCCTCGTGGTCAGGTAGTGTGAAAATGTGTAAACACATGTTAGTCAGATGGGCGGGGCGGGGGGGCGGAAACCTTTAAGAGCTGCATCCTTCATCTCATTAGACGCATGCTCTGGGAGGTTCCCGCCCTGCAGAGGACGAGCAGCTACAGAAAAAGTAACTCTAGATGGATTCTTTCTGACATATGACTGAAGAACAGAGGTGCGGTCTGACAAACGTCTCGAGTTTGAAAAATTAAATCAGGCATTGTGATTGGCTGTGGATCTAATTTGGCAAGGTGGTCTGCGTTGGATCTTGCTGTTCCGGCTCCGTGTCTGTTTCTGTGTCGGGCTCTGCGTCTTGTGGCGCCGGCTGCTGGATGAGTCCTCCGTCCTGAGCCGTGTTATAGGAGCCACAGCCGCTGCACTTCATCCCCAGCACGTGGAAAGGCACAGTGCAGTGGACTTGGCAATCATTACATATAATCTAAAATCGAGGAGAAACACACAGCTTTCAGATAACGTACAGGATATTTAATATTTATTATATTGCATTATTCATCATTTATTGTTAATTATCTGTTTATAAACACTAAGGACAAATACAAAACAACATAACTGATGCTACCTTTTTTTTGTTTTGTTGCTGCTGCTATTTTATTATAAATCTGTACCGGTATATTTTATTTAGACATGTCTATTGCTGCTACTGTGTACAGTATATTATTTGTATATAACTTGTGTTTTTTGTATCTGTGTGCTGTTCTATCCTTTGGTGCTACCTGATGCTGGAATCTGAATTTCCTGAGGGAACCTTCCCAAGGGATTAATAAAGTTCCTATCTATCTATTTCCTCACAGCAGCCACAGAGGTCCATTCTTCATTTTTGACATGAGCACTTTGTTGTGTTATGAAGGTCTTACTTTGACAGTGGCCCCTTGGTACTCGGTGGGCATCGGGGACAGGGAGATCTCTTTGTCTATCTGATCCCAGTGGTCCTCCATGTCCCACGCAGAGTGCATGCACAGAGGGCAGCGATATGCACTAAAACGCACCAGAAAACAATCACACTTAGTGAGAGGCCTCACTCAGAGCCTCATCACGTTACACCGGGTTAAAGGTCATACATACCCCGTTCTGACCATATCATCGAAGCAGGTCCTGCAAAAACAAACATGGAGAGATGTGTTCAGTTGTTAACCTGATGTTGTCATACCTCATCGAAAAGTGTAATACGACACCAAAGGTCAGAGATGACAAGAACATTACGATGATGGAGAGGGGAACAGAAATCATTCTCAACGTTTAAAATGATTTTCAACTCTTCATATTTGATGTTAAACCGTTTTTAAGATTAAATCTGTTCAGGCGCCACTATGGGTGGTTCCCCTCTAGGGACCCGGGCCCGAGTATGTTTGATCCCAAAGTCTGGTTCATTCACAGACGTACCGCACTCGGTCACCGTGCGCGAGTCTGCTTGAAGAGGTGGTCTTAGGCACGATTCATGTGTGCTCGACTACACTTTGCGGGAGTAAAGTTGATGCAAAAGTGCTCGCACAAGGAAGTGGAGCGCTATATGACGTCATTCTGACAACCCCTCGTATCCACGCAGCACGGGAACATTTCATCCTGTGTAGGAAGAGGGTCGCTGTCGTCGTCTCAGAAATCACAAAAACATCCACAGTTAGCAGGACGGACTCAGCCTGTGAGCGGTTGCCATGATTACTTCTTCTGGGTGGATTTGCAAACCAACTGTGTGCATACTGCCGCCTGCTGTATCGGACTGTGAACACAGGTAAGTGTACTCGGGTACAGAACGATGTTAATAATGTGAACGCAGACCAGCGGGGGAGAGGGGGGGGGGGGCAATCATATGAAACGATCATGCCTCATGTGAAAACGCTGTAAACCAATGGACCTTCATTCATGTAGTAGGGCTGAAGAGTTAAAGGTCAATCTGTAAAAAAATGAACACATCATTCCCACAACGCTGGTACTCAGAGAGGAAGGAATTCTTACTTGTGTAAAAGATGACCGCATGGAAGAACGTGAGCCATGATTCTGGATGTATGGATATCCTGCACAGCAAGAAAATCTAATTAACCTTCAGGTAAATAAGACGTATGGATTCAAAGCTAACATCACTCTGGATAACATCCCCCTAAAGTGTTCATATTTCATTACCTCCATACACACCGGACAGTTCTGCCTCGAGACATTTTCAACACACTGAAACACAAAAAGAATCTCAGCTGTGATGACGCTGATTCGCTTTACGAGCACCAAACATATTAAAAGTGTGAGTCAGAGAGAGGTGGAAGCGTAGCACTCACCTTGTGATTTCCTCGCAGATTCTGGGCTAAACACAGATTGCACTTCTCACAATGGAAATACTTTTCCCGGGGCCCGATCCTGTGTGGGGTCAGGACAACGGGGGGGGGGGGTCATCATGCTAAAGACTCGTTTTAATTCACCTCAATGCATGTGAGCAAAAGCTAAGCTGTCAGAGGAAAAGTTTCATTTTGTGTATGCTGTGTGTTTACAGGAGAGGTAATAGTCTATGTCTAACTTTTTTTTTCATTTTTGGGCTTTTTGTGACCTTTGTAAATGAGAGACAGGACAGTGGATAGAGTAGGAAATCAGGGAGAGGGAGAGAGAGAGAGAGAGAGAGAGAGAGAGAGAGAGAGAAGGGAAAGGAGCCACAGGCTGGACTCGAACCCGGGCCACCTGCTTGGAGGACTTTAACCTCTGTACATGGGGCGCACGCACTAACCACTGCGCCACCAGCAAACCTATTTTATTTCATCAAGACAGAAAAATAAAACATTTGTAACCAGCAGTGTATCAACACGTTAACTCACCTGCATATCCCACACGGCTGACAGTGGTATTGTTTCTTATCCTTGTCAAACAAGTGGCAAATGTTGCAGTAATACTCCCCGAACTGCACGTTACACTGCTCACAAGTTTGTTGTGCCTAAAAAGGAGAAGAAGAAGAAGAATCCATTATATTTACTCTGTTATTTTGACATACTACACACACATACACAAACAGGATCCTATGGACATGCACTAATGGAGAGATGTCAGAGTTAATGGAGGGCTGCATTTAAAGAGCATCTGAGCGGTTTGAGGTTCGGTGCCTTGCTAAAGAGCAACTCAGCAGTGCTCAAGACATTACCTCTCCAGCTACCAGACCTGTCCACACTGGGACTTAAACGGGCAACAACCCATGTCCCTATAGTATGAACTACTGCTGTACAAAGACAGAGATAATTCCACCCTATAGACTGAGCTACTGCCACTCCTAGCACAAGTCAGAATATCTTTATTGCCATTGGACAAGAACAACAACAATGAAAGAAGAAGCCGCTGTCATGTTCATTATTATCCCCATAAAAGCCCTGAGGTGTCCCTTAGGCATCGCTACATGTGTCTCCTACCTGCTGCACGGTGTGACACTCAGAGCACTGCACCTCTGTGACTTTGAATCGATCCATCTGGTGGTTCTCCTCTGCATCGTGGCACAGCCGACACACGTACAGTTTGCTACAGCAAGGAGCCTGCAGTACATAGAAACACGAGATGACCAGGTGTTATGTTGAGAAGTCCTACACAGCCTGCTAGTGAGCAGGCAGGGCAGGCAACTGCTTGGGGCCCCAGACCAGTAGGAGGCCCCTTGAAGGCTGACAAACTTAAACCTAAAGCAGTGGCCCTAAATGTGCAAATGTCCTCTACAGACACTTGAGAGTGAAACACTGTTTGCAGCTCAGACTTCTGAAATGCGTCTTCTGTCGACTCTACAGAACAATGAGCACACTTAACTTTATTAAGTATAAACTTCACATACTTTGTCATCACTGATCTGCCCCCAGGAGCAACTTTGTATCGTTTTCAAACACGAGGTGCATGCATTTTTTAACAAGGATGCATTTCTCGGCATAACACCCCAGGGACCTGCTGCAGGTGAATGACAGTCAGTCATTACGTTATTCCACTTTAGCCTCATGATGGCCTCCACAGTGAAGGTTAAATCTCAAAGTGTATGTCAAAGTAAAGTTGTCTTATTTAAAGCATCTAACACGAAGAAACACAGAAAAGGAACTTCATGACGTTATATAACCGGTTTAGAGCGAGGAGCTAGCTGCGGCTAACGCTAACAAGGCGCTTTATCAGGATTAAAGTTATTAAAAAAGAAGACTTCTCTCTTCAGGGCAATTACACAATACACATTTTAAAACCTTAACTCACTTTCAACAAGCAGCTGCGTACATAATGCTCACAGCCAGCAGGGGAAGCCATGATTCCTCCAAATGTATGATTCTTCTTCTTCGAATGCGATGACGTCTTCTCTTCTTCTTCTTTTCTTCTTCTTCGTCGGTGAAAGCGAACGCACAGCAACACAGCCCCCTCCTGGTTCAGGGTCACAAGTGCTCCTAGTTACTCTGATGTACTGTTGTTGTAGTAGCTAAAACTGACACAAAGATAGATTAGTGTATGTTACGGTTAATTGTAACATATTTCCCTCTTTATTTGCTTTTTAATATCGGCCATTTGTTTACTTACTGGTCCGAATTAACACGAATCCTTTTTCGGTGATTATTTCAATGTTTTGTTTTTTTTTATTTTTTATTTAAACACTATAAGTATTTTTTTCTTAATTAATTAAGCTTCTTAATCTTTATGATATGTGAAAATGTCTTGCTGCAGTGGAGTTAGCGGACAGGCGCCGCTGGTGTAGTGGTATCATGCAAGATTCCCATTCTTGCGACCCGGGTTCGATTCCCGGGCGGCGCACTCGTTTTGTTCTGTCAACTACCGACGGACACGAAGCGTTCAATATGATCGTGTTTGAATCATAAATTATGGTTTGAATAACGAGATATAAGATACTGCAAATGTACGAGGGACCAAAAATTAAGTGAAAAAATTGAATAAAATATTCTTGCAGTAAATAAATTAAATTGAAAAGTAGAAACGAATGCAGGAATAAATGCATTAATTAATAAATAAAAACATGTATTAATAAATGAAATGTAAAAGGCTATTTCCATATTTTTTTTAATGCATTCATTTTTTAAATGTTCTATACATATTTTGTGATTAATTTATGCATTTATTCTAGCATTTATTTATTTTTTCTGCATTCATTTATACTTTCTAATCTAAATGTAATATATTTCATTCATTTATTTCTGCATTTATTTAAATATTTCCTTCATTATTATTACATTTATGTATTTACACATTTATCCATCTATTTTTTTTCAATTCAATTAAAAAACCTAAAGCTTAAAATATAAAATTAAATACAAAAGTTAAAAATAGAAAATAATAAAAATAAGAATAGAGTTATGAGTGATCGAACTAACAGATGTAAACAGAACTCTTTGCAGCAGACGTATACTGAGTGGGTAAGAGATTGAAGCGCAATCAGGGACTGAGATACAACAGGAAATAAAATACAACAGAGTTGTATGAAAAACTGACCAAAAAAACAAGTCATAATAGTGCATGAAGACCAAATAAAGCTGAATTTGATTAATTAATCATTTATTTATTTCCTCACAGTGTAATGTTACAGACGTCAAAGAGCCCAGTGAACTTAAAGGCAGAATGTGCGACATATTACACAAAATAAATCATAAATCAAGTATATCTTCTGTAAATGTGTCTCTGAGTCATGACTGTCTACAATGAGGGAGAAGCTCGAGTCCCACTGGCTGTGTTGTTGTCAGAGCCGTGTTTACATGGACGGGACGGCCGGCTCCTCCCCTTGTGTATAAAAGCTGTTTTAGTCAAGAACTAGAGAGAAGAAGAACATACTCTCTGATTATTTGGATGTTAGTAAGAGTTTTTAGATCACGCTCATTCTGTGTCAATTTACATGCAGCGTGAAGCTACGAGCTAACATTAGCATGCTAACACAACAATGCAGGACACAGGTGATTGTAGCTCAATCAGGAATGCAGGAAATAGTATAGCCAATCCAGGTCCTGCACAAAGACGGCTGCATAAGGAAGAGTGAGCTGCTACTGAAAGCTGCCGTACTGTTGCTGTGATATAAATGTCATGACTACAGTCAACTCGGACTATGTTTTCATAGGGGATGGGAGGGTGGTAGCAGAGAGAACTCATATAATTCCCCGCCAGCGTCACATTTTTTACTTTATTGATTGGGAGCCCCCTGGTGGCTGAATTTACATACTGTGCCTTTAACATGTGCGTGCAAGATTATTAATCATGTTAGCTTAGTCATGTTATTATTGAGGGTCCAAATTTGAAAAAAAAAATACTCCTATAATAAATGAGAAAAATTGCAGGCAATGCAAATTGTTTCAGTTTCACATATAAAGAAAGTGCATCAATTTATCTTAATATGTAATACAATCTTTACATGGTTAATTATAATTCATAGTTTTAAAGTGCACTTTCTTGGCTTTCTGTGTTATAGGTATTTCAGTTATGAAACATTTAATTAAGAGCACAACTATGAGGGACAAAAAATGACAAAAGTATAAATAAATAAATGAATAAATGTTGGGGGAAATGCATACAATAATGTATAAATAAATAATTAAATAAATGCATCAATAAATATATAAATAAATATATAAATGCTGAAAACAATACATCAATGAATAAATAATAAATACACTCTGTTAATGAAAAAGGCTATTTATATATTTTTACATGTATTTATTCATACATGTAAAATTTAACTGTGTATTTCTACAGTTATATATTTATCAATGCATACATTTCCACATTAATTGAGTTATTAATTTATTTCCAGGAAAAGTATATGTAAATTTGCTTGTTTGTTTTTCAAAATTGACCAATGCTACTTCAGTAATGTTAGGACGGCCCACTTAATTTACATATTTACTTTTCCTTGTACAACATGAACACAGAAATACATAAATAAATATATGGATATATTTATTTATACATTTATACATTTTTATATGAATTGTTGCATTTATATATATATATATATTTATTGATGCATTTATTTAATTATTTATACATTATTGTATGCATTTCTCCCAACATTTATTTATTTATTTATACTTTCGTCATTTTTTGTCCCTCATATCTTTCCGCCGCTGGGTTTTGGCTTCATTTCAGCGCGCAGGTTGACGCTGCTGACGCTGCTCCTCCGCCATCTTCAACTTCCTATTGTTTGCATCAGACTGAGGCTGTGTCTGCGGTGTGTGTGTGTGTGTGTGAGTGTGAGAGCAGATTCATCGGTAAATTGTAGATATAGTCATCACGTTTGCGGCCGATCGAGTTCAGCACAAATCTTTTTGTATGTCATTGGATTAACGGGGACTCGACCACTAAACCCAAGATGATGGACGAGGATCAGCCCAGAACCTTGTGAGTAGCAGCGGGCCTGGCTACGTCCTGGCGTGGGAAGAAGAAGAAGGCTCCGTGTAACATCCACGGCGCGTCCCAAATGTTTCCACGTTGTTGTTTCAATTAAACACGGCAAACCCTCACATTTAACCCACGGAAGGACATTTTAAACGCCACATATTTACATCGGCACGAGCAGCGCGTGGTCACACAATTAGTTAGGAAGCAGTTTCGATCAGAACATGAGGTTCTGTTTGATTTGGTCGTATAAACGGAGAATGAAACCCATCGGCTAATGTTAGCAATCATTAGCTTAAATGCAAACACCGCTAGTGAGATAATTACTCGGAATTGTAACAGCTCCCCTTTTAATCGTGTCGTTAATGACAACATAACCGCGTTATGATTACAATAATTAAGCTGGAGTGTAGAATAAATGTTGAATTTAACGAAGAAGCGTCAGATGCTAACACAGCTAGCATTAGCGTTAGGCCCCTTGAGCCGGCTAGCTGCTGGCCACGTCAACGCTGAGAGAATCGGCCTGGGACGGTTTCAGTCAGCCGGTGACCCCACTACAGTCTTATTTATAAAACCAGACTGTGCTCTAAAATCACTGTACCCACACAGCTTTCGTTTTAATGTTATAATTGAGAAAGGTGTGTGTTGTAGCTAGCCTGGTTAGCTAGCCTTTGTTTGCATGCTACTTCCTGTTTGACAAAGGCTCATATCTTCCTCCTCTCGTGTTGTTTTCAGGTACGTGGGGAATCTATCCAGGGACGTCACAGAGCCCCTTATTCTACAGGTCTTCACGCAAATAGGACCCTGCAAGAGCTGTAAAATGATAGTGGATGTGAGTGTTTAGTTTGAACTCAAAGGAAACTGGCCTCTCAGTCTTCATGTGTTCTTAATGTTGAATTTCCTCTCCGGCCTGTGTGACTGGTTATCTGCACTTCTTAATGGCAGTGTGCATAATATGAGTGTTGTTTCCCCGTTGACAGACTGCTGGAAATGATCCATACTGCTTTGTGGAGTTCTATGACCACAGGCATGCTGCTGCCTCTTTGGCAGCGATGAATGGAAGGAAAATAATGGGTAAGGTAAGCTATCGTGTCTACAGGGTGAGTGGGAATGTGTGGGCCTGTGGGAGAAATCAGTGGATTTATATATTGCAGTAATCACATAGTTTTTTCAAACCTACAAAATTAAAGCTGCTCGAGCTGCACTCTAAAATCAGATCACAATTTAACAGTTTTTCTGCTGCGAGAAAAATGATATCTATTATTAGTAAATCACGTTTAACCAGGCGGACCTAAAACAGGAGAAATCTCATTGTTTTATCAGGAGGTTTACTGTCCTTATGAGACCTTTAAATGTTGGAATCAGACATAGAAAATATTTGAAGAAATACATAAAACAATGTAACAACACTGGAATAGTTTAAATGAGGAACTGTGACCAGTCAGTTCTCTCAAAGAGGAAAGGAAATGATGACCTGCTGCATTAAAGAGACCATAGGGCCTTATTAAATAATATGAAATCATATTAAAGTGGGCTAGATGTGATCTCATTCAGGGCTAAGAAATGAAGAGAAAAGTCCACCTCAGATGATTGTTTTCTAATGTTACATTAAAGTTAAATATCTACTTGTACAAAATTAAACACTTGAGTTTGTTTTTCAAATTAATTCCCAAATCCTCCAAAGAAAGAGTCAAGTCAGTTTTTATACAGTAGAGTCGACAGAAGACATAATATTTTCTTGCATCGGCTGCTTGATATCGTCCTACTACTTGGTGCCGGGATCGAGATCGACCAGATCTCGATTCTGTTGAGCTGGATGACGATACTTGATATATACGACGATATGTCTTTTATTAACAGTCAGGAGCATAAGATCAACATGTACATGACAAATAAACTACCTGTTTGCTAAATTAAAAAGTCTTGTAAAATAAAAATGTTCTGTAAATACAATAAATTAAAAATGCTATTTTTTTTTTGCAAAATAAACACAGCAGGTGTTTTTTTTTAGTTTGGAGGAGCAGGGTGAAGAGAGGAGATGTTAAATAGGTGAACTAGCAGC